ACTAGAATCATCATATTGGCGTGACTGTAACAATCAAGGGGTTAAATTAAAAAAATGTATGTGTTTTAGAGGACATTTCAGAATATCGCGATATATATCGTATATCGCGATATAGTCAATAAATATCGCGATATCATTTAGAGACCATATCGCCCAGCCCTAGCTCAGGATGAGTTTGGCTGTGTTTCGCTGTGTATCGCTAAACAAGGAGACCACACCTCCACGGAGCTCAGCGCGATTCACAACGTCCCGACCAAACGGAGCACACTGGGAGGGGGGGCAAGAGCTGCAACGAGCCGTTTAGTGGAGAGAGTGAATACTGCTGAATACACATACTTTACAGAGATGCTGTATGCGAAACCAATGTGAGTTTGGAAAATTGCTGAATACACATACTTTACAGAGATGCTGTATGCGAAACCAATGTGAGTTTGGAAAATTGCACTGTATAAATGTATTTTAGTATACCTCAACAATGGAATTATGATCAGTGGAAATGGCCATGACATGGGACCTTTAATAAAGTGTGCCTATTATTTTTACTTATCTGCACTATTCTGCTGTTGTGATACTGTCCCCGTTGATGGACAAATAAAGCAATTCTGAAACAAGTGACTGAAGAAAGCAATTCTGAAACAAGTGACTGAAGAAAGCTCTAGAAAAAAACAATTTAAACGTTCAGATGATCAAAGTTTGACCTTGTTGTGATATCTTGTTGTAACAGATACTTATATAATTGTATTATACTCGTGTGAATCTCTACTGTAATGTTTTTCACTCTGTCAATTGCCACTTTAATCTCCTGAATTTCCCCACGGAGATGAATAAAGGTCCTTCTTATCTTACTTACTAAACGATACCTACACACGTTAGCCCTATGACGACCTGTGGTAAGGCTGATGTTCATTTGCCCTATTATGGTCATCGTTGGGTGGAGGTTTTCACTTTTTAACTATAATTGTTAACCACATTTGTTTAAATAACCACTACGTTAGGGAAGACGTCAGTCAGAGAGTTGTATTTCAGGGTCCCTAACTAACAATGTAAACATCCGTTACAACGTCATTAACGTTACCTGTCGCCAACAAGCTAACATTACACACGGCTCCTAGCGGTTAGCTCTTGGATACACATGCGACACGCCGAAAACATTTTACCAGGGACGAGTAACCACCTCAGTCACAAGATAGAACCAAAAAGTGTCCAAACAGAGATTACATGTCGTTGACTTACATAATACAGCCAACCAAGAGATGTAAACGCTACACTTATCCTGATAGGGGAGGGACGTTATAGAGGCTAACAAGTGTTTAGCTAGCTAACCTGGCCGCCAGCCTTACGAAGCAAAACTTACTGTGCGTCATCTTCCGAGAGTACAGGTGCTTGTTCGGCATTCTCTCCCGGTTCTTCTTCGGGCAGGGATTTGACGTTTGTCCCGCTGTTCTTGTTTTTAAGGATGCCTTTTATCGGCCGGGGAGATGCCATTCCCACACGTTGACTATCAGACCTGGCGCGCAACTATTTCTTCCCTTCAAGAGATTTTCTGATTCGGTTATTTCTTCCTGCGACTCAATGAACAAAGATAGGTTCTATTTTAAACATGCTCCCCGTCATAACTCAATGCTCTTTCATAAACTCAGGAGAAATATGTGGTATATCCTACGTGCACTGGCGGTTCTGCATGTCTAGCTACTCTCCGGTTGTTCACTGACTGGTGGTGGGAGGGGGGGGGGAACAGCACTACGAGCGGGTCAGCTAGGCTCACAGTATCGCGAGACTTTGAAACGCGATTACAAATGCTGCATTTGTGTGCTCGGAAATGTCTGTGTCATAAATTTAGATGTAGCTGTATGGTGTGTCTTCCTACATTTATATTGGCATGTATTCATCTTCTTTTAATGTATTCATATATGTTTAAATAAAAGACCAATTTTCGATCCTATTTTGCTTATTTTTGATACAGTTACAATCATGGGCGTCCTTTTGGTAGAAAAAGTGGTCGGGACAATTTCTCCAGATTTAACATCAGCATAGCAGAATACAAAATATATCCCTCCCCTGGGTGTTGAGCACCTGCATGGAAAAACCAGTCCCTTTTCTGTTTGCTGGTTTAAGAGAGAAAAACAATGGGAACCAAAGTTTGCTGACTATTACTGCCTCCAGTTTCGCAAATGCTTAAAACAACTCATAAACCAGTTCTTCTTCAAGTTTAATCAGAAAATTGTTTATTGATGTTCAACTACACACATAGAGAGGGCTGCAGTTGGCTTTGTTACTAAATTTAAACCAAAGGCAAGTCATCAGCAAGGCCCTCTCCTTTAGATTTTATTAAACACAAAATTGCATTAATTAATCATTCACTTCCAGTAATTAAAACAAGTTTTTAAATCTGTACATATACGTACGTCTATCAATCTCTTTTTGTGTAAAAAGCAATAGAAGGAAGATACTCGGGTATACGTATATATAGACAGACAAGTTTAATTTCAACAACACGCTAAGCCTGAGATACACTCCTCAGTTGTCACTGAAGGATTCTTCGTTGTCCACAGTTATTGAAGCAGCTGATGGGAGATCCACCAGCAGTTTGTTTGATGATGAACACATCTGGATCAGGCCATATGGACACGCTTCCTGATCAGGGTCCGGGCAATGCTCAGCTGCTTCAACCAAGGCTTTTCTGTAAAGTTGCTGCATAAGAGAAACATGCATTAACTCAATAAAGTAGGGCTGTCATGTATTTGTTTAACATATGTAAGTCATATCAATCATGATGAATTGTTAGTGTGGTGAAATAACCAAAAAATGAGGCAGTTGATAGCCTATATTTAATTTCTTATTAGAGAAACTACAAAAACGTTTTAATGTGAAAATATATGTAACGCCTTTAACTTAATTTGTGTCATAATATTTTATAAGCCCATCAGTAGCTAGAAACTGACAGAATTACAGACAGAAAATATGTGTGGTTTAAACAAATTGACTGTACGTAAAACAGATTTTGCTTAACTGACCCTTTGCTGTGAACCTCAAATAAAATTGCATTTATGTGACAAATCTGTTTTTATTGCATAATGAAAACCATGTTATAACCTGAATAAAAAGTATACAGACCTGGCTACGGTCAAGTAGTATGTGGCTTTTTCTCTTGGTGTTGTGCTGGACTTCAGAGATGCAGTCAGAATATGGTGAGATGTTGGCCTGGGAACTCTGTCTCTGGAAATGGGTGGCAGTATGCATTTCCTTCTCAATAAGCTGCTGTCATCCTGGCAGATTCCATCCAATAGGCAAGCTTTCTTACTTTTCACATCTTGTTTCTGATTTGTTTGCATCTCTTTAAAGTCACCTAGACTGGGGAGATGCGAAAGTAAGTTGCTGATGGGAGGCAAGGGTTGCAAAGCTTTGGCCTTGATTCCTCTGCTTGGTATTGTTACAGTTTTCCTGGATTTGGAAGACATATTGTATGGCTGGTTGAAACCATCCACCAGCAACTTATCTCCCACCCTGGCTTTGAAAGCAGCACTGTACTGGCATTGATTGGAGGCTGCCCCTTTCTGCCCCAAACTCACCCAGCGTTTTATCTGGAGGTAGATACGCATGGGCAAGGACATGTTTGACAGGGACACTACTGAGCACAGCTTGTTTGCTAAGTATTGCACACAGTCCCTGCTACCATGCTGAATAGCAACTTTCAAAGGATCCCGACCTCCAGGGTCCCTACAAGTCAAGCTCAAAAGGTTCTTGGTGACGAAGAGTTTAAGGATGAGGAGGTGGTTGCGCTCTACAGCTATGTGGATGGGACACTTTCCGGTGTCTCTATGGGCGGTTTGCTGGCACCACTGGCGGTACGGATGGACCCCGACTGGTTTGTCAGCATGCACCCCTCTCTCCAGCAGCCAGCCTGCCAGATCCAGGTGACCAGAAGAGGCAGCGATATACAGTGCCACCTGCAGCTGAAACCTGGAGAAGCAGGTCAGAAATTATTAATTTTAAGTGTAAAATTTCACTCTGACTTTATGGATAAAGTGAAAGACAACAGTTCTGTTGCACTTGTATTTGAATGATTATGAATGGAGTTTCTGACCTCATTACCGGCTTCTTCTCTGATAGGTGGATCTGGACTGTCAATCTGTGGCCAAGGAGGCAACTCAGGAGGAACTCCACCCACCCATCCCAGGTATCCAAACGGAGAGTAGTGCCTTTGTTTGAAAAGTAAAATAGCAATAACGGTTAGGATTTTAAAATCGATCTGAATCATTAAATTCTTATACTATAATATTAACTTCAAAATAGAAAACAATTATTTCTAAGAAAGAAATGCTCTGTTCCACTTCTCTATTATGAAGCTCCCACCAGCTAACATTCAACACATATTGGAGGCTTAGTAGCCTACATTTCACAATTTAAAATAAAGTAATTTAGAAGTCAAGACAAAACATGATATCTAAACTTTCACTGAATCAATCAAAGTGTTATTAGCTTTGACATTTAAAAAAATAAGGAGCTACGTAGCACTCACTGCACACTAACACACATCAACTGCATAAACAGAGAGCAGGCCGTACCCACTACAATGGCGTAGTCTTGCAGTTGGTTGCAGTCGTAGAGCTGCACGTCCTCAGGTGTGCTCAGTCTGAAAGTGCCGACAGGGAGGCCGCTTTGCATGGACACCACAGATTTCAGTCTAGCGATGGACATATACAGAAGGGCCTCACTTCCCATGATTGGTAGAATTTTTCCTGTCACAGCATTGAACACACGCATCACAGGCCTTCGTTCACTCTGAAAGAAAAGTATAATGGCCATTCAGTTAATAAGTAAAAAGAATACCAAGACTTTAGTTGATGAAACCCTGTTGTTTATCCCCAAAAAACCGAATTAAGTGCATTTATTATTTTTATCTGGACTCTGAATCACTCTAAAATATTGCCAGTGCAGGTGGCCAATAAACAACAAGGAGTTTGCTGCCCCTCTGTGGTTGAAATGATGTTCAATCACACAAAGTTGCATCATATTTTAAGAAAAATACTATACAGATTTGTCTTTGGATATCTTTGCTGAGGGAAAACCAGAGCCTGGCAAGCTTGTATGTATATTTTTATTTGCAAAAGCTCTGTACATGATTTACCATCCTTTAAGCAAAAGATTTATAGTGAATAGTATACTGTAGGTGAAATCTTGAGGACCGGGAGGGCAAACATTTATTTTTGAAATAAAAACTTTAGATGTCATATAGCAAAGATACACAATCCAAGATATATACAAGTTTCCAGAGTGAAATGGACCTATATTACATTACATTTACATTAAATTGCATTTAGCTGACGCTTTTCTCCAAAGCGACTTACAATAAGTGCGTTTGACCAACAAGATACAAACTTGAAGAAAACAGAATATAAGTACATCAGGTTTCATAGAGCTAAAATATTTCAAGTGCCACTCAACTGGCTTTAGATAAGCCAGTCCTTTATTATTATATAAGTGCTTTGTTAGCAATTCTTTGTTAGTAATTCTATCGCTCGAAGTGGAGTCGAAAGAGATGAGTTTTCAGTCTGCTCCTGAAGATGTGTAAGCTTTCTGCTGTCCTGACGTCAATGGGGAGCTCATTCCACCATTTTGGAGCCGGGATAGCAAACCCACGTGTTTTTGCTGATGGGAATTTGGGTCCCCCTCGCAGTGCGGGTGCAGCGAGCTGTTTGGCCGATGCAGAGCGGAGTGCACGTGCTGAGGTGTACAGTTTAACCATGGGTCCTGGATATAAGGTAAGGTTGGTAGAAGGCACTATTTTACAAGAGGATGTAAAAGTGATGACAAAGGGACACACACCCAC